GCCTTCCATGGGGGATTTTCATAATATGTCAAATGTATAAACTTTTATAAATCCACAACCAACTCACCCAAATACGTAAGAAAAACTAGTTTGAAACCTAAGCATTTGTGAGTTTGCAGATGGACTTCTCAGGAGGCTAGCATCTCATGCCTTTCGATCATTAGTATTGTGAACAAAAGTTTCTGCATTTCTGGAAAGAATGCTTCTTACACTTTCCAGAATGCACTTACCCTTAATCTGAAAGATTAATTAACTAAATAAAGCTTCACTGACTTTGAAGATTTTATAATGGTGCAGGTTCTTAGCATAGTTACAACCCCTTTAATAAGTACTTCTTTCCCACCTGTTTCTGACCCAACAACCTTGTGACAAGGAGGTAAAATATGCTGGAATTTACTAACTTAGCCAACTGCTAACTTCCACTGACAAAAGTCTCAGGATATAAACAAAGTCCTCCTCTGTATTTTTTGCTGTTGCTGCAATAAAAACGCTCTAATCAAAAGGAACAAATGGTACTGGGGAAGCTGAGTGTGATACCCGAAGCAATGAAACTGCTAGGAGAAAATGTAGGCACTGCTTACATCTTAATGAATCCGTATCTGAAGGTTAGACCATGAATATCAGATACCTTTATGCTGATTAATGACACAGGTTCTGCTTGTGGTTCAAGATCTATATGCAAACTTCAATTCACAGGATATTCCTTGAGATCTCAGATTGGTTCAGTTGTATTTTGAGTGAAAAATACAATAGCGCCACACGCTAATATGAAAAATACAAGATTATCTTCAAATTCTGGGTATAAATATAGACAGGCTCTCTCTCTGTCTCTCTCTCTGTCTCTCTGTCTCTGTCTCTGTCTCTGTCTCTCTCTCTCTCTCTCTATATATATATATATATATATATGTATATGTGTGTGTGTATAAAGTTGAAATGCATACTTAAAAGTATAGTCATTTCATTTTGGAAAGTAAAAATACTGTTTTTATGCATAACTCATTTTTATAAACTGAATTTATAAATGTTTAATGTAATAAGCATATTTAGGTGTACATGGCAGAATATTGTTCTAAAGGTCAATTTAATGCATGTTAAGTTCAGAATGATCTTATAACTAAATTTCTATTCAAAGTACTTTTCAATACAGACAAATTATACTGGTGTTTCCTTTTATATAAGTTTCTGAAATGTTTGAATTCTTCATTTGATGTGGATCACTTCTAGACTAGTGCCAAATTATTTAGTCTTTCTGATGTTTATTTATCCTAGACTCATGTATACTCAATTTTCTTTGTGACACTTATTTTTCTCATAACTATTACCACTAATCAATATTTGATTTATTTATTTTAATGACCTCTGCTTATTATGCTCTGCTGGCATTAGATACCTGAGGAATAGGTATTTTTCTTTTTTTAAAATTTGTGTCCAGATTTATGAGCAGATGAAAGAGAGAATACACTATAGATCTGTTTACTGAATGAATTCATTACCTCACAGATGCTTGCAGTATGTTTTTCGAAAACTCTTTGTTCTTATATTAACTCCATTAGAGTAAAAAAGTTTGTAAAATTTGTGAACAAAGTAGTTAAAATGCGAATTTATCAGACACATGTTGAACAAAATATGTTCAATCGGACCTGTGAAAAGCAAGTCAGTTAAAATATTAACTTCAAATTCTGTCAAGGAAAACCATATTGAGAGTGGTAAATTGTACAACTGTTATACTAAAAGAAACATTTTACTAAAAGAATATATGATTAGGACAATAGAGGTGCCTTCATGACTTCATTTATTGTAGCATTATTCATGTTAGAAAAGATAACATAGAATCTCCATTAGGGTCAAAGGATAAGATGATATGGCATGTATAAGAAGAAATGGAGTCTTACTCATTTGTTAAAAAGAACAACTATGTTGTATACAGGGAAATGGAAATAATTAATAAGTGAGATACAGCAAGATAAGCATGATATGTTATACCTTATGTATGGAATTTAAAGGTAAGTATAATAAAAGAAAAATGGAAAGATCGCAGGAGATAGAAAGGGGGAGAAAATAGTGATGATAATGAGAACAATAAATATGAGCCTTATATATGTGTGGTAAAACTGTCACTTAATTCAAAGACATATACTAATATCAATGTACTTAGGGAAGTCAAAGAAGAGACTTCTTTCATTGATAAATCCTATGGGATTCTAGAAATATTCTTTCACTGGCACATCATCTAACTACTACAACCAAATGATTTTAAAAGAAAAGTGTGTGTAATGCTTCATTTTATCCCTAGCTTCCATAGTTGTCTAGAGGCTGTGTCAAGGAATGAGTCACAGAGCACAATAAACCCATGTGTGAGTTTATTAAGTAACTCATGTGTTCCCTCCTCCCTTTCTTTGACTGGATTCCTGGCGTTTGGCCTGGTGCTTGGTTGCTGATCTCTGCATCTGGTGCCAGCATTTACTGGATGAAGACTCTGTGATGACTTTTGGGGTATTCACCAATCTGAGTAATCTCCAGAGACAGTTCAACCAAGCTCATGGAAACTCATGAACTCTGGACTGACAGCTATGGAGCCTCCATGCGACTGAACTAGGGCCTCTGTATGTGGGGGACAGTTTTGCAGCTTGGGCTACATGAGGAGTCCCTGCCAGTAGGACCAGTATCTACCCCTGGAATATGAGCTAGCTTGTTGGAGCCCATTCCCTATGAGGGGGGGAAGGGGATTAGTCCTGTCCCAACTTAATGTGCTAGACTTTGTTGATTCCCCATGGGAGCTCTTATCTGATGGGAGGAGTGGATGGGGGTGGGCTGGGAGGGACCTGAGAGGGGTTGGGAGATGTGAGAGGAGGTGGGGGGGGGAGAACTTTGGTTGGAATGTAAAATGAAATCAAAAGAGAAAAGGGTAAAAGAGGGAGTTGTGGTGATTGAGAAAGGAAGTAGCGAAGAGAGAGAAGGGGCGGGTGGATCTTACTTGCAAAGGATACTTTGCACATGCATACAGAGCCTTACTTGGCCACACAACACGTGACATAGCCATGCAGCCCATGATGTAGTGACATACAGTCATAGGGCCCCCAGTCTGACTAGGTATTTGCCTGAATGTCAGTGGGCACATCTTGCCAGCTGATGGGGTTGGCCAGCATAATGCCTGGATCCTAACAGCTTCTCCATGACTTTTAACAAAAAGGGAAATTGGATTTTGACAAAAACTTTCTCTGCATCATTGCTTCACTTATCAATCCCAGCTCCCTCTTGCTCCCCTCCTCTCCCACCCCCCAGCAACCTCCCAATCCCCCTCAATCCCCCTCTACTCCCCATGGGGGATCTCCAAAGTCTGACATATCTCGGGTCCTCTCTCATGTGTCCAGGCTGAGAGAGCATCCCTCCATGTGGAATGGGCTCTCAAAGTCCATTTGTATGCCAGGGATATATACTGATCTACTACCCAAGGCCCCATAGATTGCTGAGGCCTCGAGTCACTGAGTACTAACTTTCAAAGTATTGGAAGGTCCTGTGTAAACTGCCAACAGAGGAGAACAATCAGTTGTCCTACATAGGTGTGACTCCTAGGAACCACAACCAAGGCCAGCACAGGAAGAATGTGGAATAATTGCACTTGTTTCTTGACTAGAGTCATTAGTCATCTAATTGGATCTAAGGCCAGAAACTGGTTGTTAACTAAAGCCAAATTATCAGCCCTTAAAACATATATAACTAACCTGAGTGCATAGGAGCTCACAGACACTGAACCGACAAACAGGGAGCCTGCATATATGTGACAGTTGTGTAGCTTGATCTTCTGGTGGTACTCGTAACAGTGGAGGCAGGAGCTGTCTCTAACTCCTTTACTGGTTGTTGGGTCCCAATTCCTCACTGGGTTGCCTTGCCAAGCCTTAAAGCAAGGCAAGTTGCTTAGTCTTACTACAACTTGATATGCCATATTTATTCGATATCCCTGGGGGGTCTTCCCTTTACTTAATAGAGAAGGAGGAGGAGTGGATGAGGCAGAGGGGAGGAGCAGGGAGGAGAGGACAGAGGGGAAACTGCAGTCATATTTCTGCCATTCTATAATCTATTTTTTTCTGCCAGAAGTTCAATTTTCTGTTCAAAATATTTAAAAATTCAGATTCTCTCTCTCCCTCTCCCTCCCTCTCCCTTCCTCTCCCTCCCTCCCTCCCCTCTCCCTCCCTCCCTCCCCCCTCCCTCTCTCCCTCCTTCCCCCCCCTCTGTGTCTTGAGAAGGCAGAGGGTTCTAGTCTATCCTTAAGACTGCAAGTGTACTCCCTGCTTACCTTTAGCATCTTCAGGTTTTAACTTAAAGATCCTTTTTATTACTTTAATTTTAAATAGCATGCTTCACATGTCAATGCCAGTTCTCTCTCCCTCCCCCCTCCCACACCCCCCTCCATCCCCCCCAGCCTCCCACCCTATCCCCTTTTCCTTCATATAGGGGATATTCAGAGTCTGTCATTTCACTCAGGGCAGGGTACAGGCACTCCCCTAAGAGTACAGGCAAGAGAGCATCCCTCTTTGTGTTATGGACACACGAAGTCCTTTTGTATGCCAGGGATAAACACTGATCTACTGCCCAGGTCCGCATAGGTTGCCCAGGGCTCCTCACTGACTCTCACATTCAGGGGGTCTGGATCAGTCCCATGCTGGCCTCCCTGCTGTCAGTCTGGAGTTCAAGAGCTCCCCATTGTTCAGATCAGCTGTCTCTGCTGGTTTTGCCAGCCCATTCTTTGCCAATTTGCTCATAGCTCCTCTCTCTGTCACTGGGTTCCATGGGTTCAGTTCAGTGTTTAACTGTGGGGGTTCACCTGTGCTTCCATCAGTCACTGGATGAAGGTTCTAGGATGGCATATAGTGTAGACATCAAGTTCATTATCAGGAATGGGCATTTAAGGTGGTCTCTCCACTATTGCTTAGCTTGCCAGTTGGTGTCATCCCTTTAGATCACTAGAAGTCTCACTGGTGCCAGATCTGTCTTCTAACCTATGACTCCCTCTTTTATGGTTTTTCCTATCCTATTATACCCCTATTCTATCCCCCACTCAACCTTCCTGAACTATCTTTAATAGATGTTCTTTGCAGGGTGGGAGATTTGAATCTACATTCATTTTCTGTAGATTTTTGCCAAACAATTTGTTGAGAAAGCTATCTTTACCCAGGTGTACATTATTAATGTATTTCACAGAATTCATGTGACCATTGTTATATGGATTTATATCAGGTTCCTCAATTGTAGTCCATTAGTCTTTGAGCCTATTCAAACCACCACATTTCACTCGCTGGCCCCCATAGGCTTACAGTCATATATCAATGCAAAATTGTATTCAGTTCAACTTCAGAATCCCTATAATCTACCATAAAATAAACAATGTTTAAACATCCAAAGCTCAAAGTATCCTCTGAAACTCAAGGCAATCTCTTAACTGTAATTCCCTATAAAATCAAAATTTTAAAAAATCACTTTCACTTTCTTCCAACATACAATGGTGCAGAATATACATTGCTGCTCTAAAAAGAAATAAAGGGAACATGGTAATAAAATACTGAACTAAAGGAAGACTGCAACACAGCAGGACAAACTCTGAATTCTGGATTTTCATGTCTGATAACAAAGCACTCTTCAGATCTGCAACTCCTTTAGCTTTGTTGACTGCAACATACTCCTCTCTTTTGGGCTGGTTTTACATCCTTTTAGCATATCTCCATGGCAGGTATCCCACAAATCTGTGATCTCTAACATGCTGGTGTCTCTGTCTCTAATACAATATGGGCTTCGCCTTCACAGCTTCACACAGTGGACTCTCCGGGCCTCTGTACAGGGACTCCACTGACCCACAGCTGACCCCGGCTGCTTTTATTAGCCATGGAAGAAGATTCCACAACTCTTTTCTTGTATTCTTTATCCTAAAACCAGAACTACATTGCCAGACCTGCCAAGTTCTGGTGCTTGTTAGGGCTGGAACTTGGTCCCCTTATGTAATTACATTTGCATGAGCTTTCTATTATTGATGGTTTCCTTCAATGTCTTCCCACAAGTAGGAAGCTTAGCCAAATATTATCTTGCCATGAGACCTCCATTCCACTTATTCCATTTACCATTGAGATTAAAAAAAACTCTGTATTTCCTTGAGCACTGGACTTACACATTTTAATTCCTGGTACTCCTTTTCTCCTCAAACTGTACCTTTTGTATTTCTATTTGTCCAGATTGCTCCTTTTCCTTATAGATTTGCATCAGAGTGATTACTAATAACCGTTCGGCAGAGTCAATCTTAGACTGTCTTGAAATCTCCTCTGCCAATGACATTGATTCAAAACTCTTCTAGTTAGCCTCAGGAAGATTTTTAGGATAAGGGTAAAAATCAGTCAACCTTTTTGCCAAAATATTGGAAGAATGGTCTTGAGGCCAGTTACTCATATTCTTCCCATCTGAAACCTCTTAAGCTGGCCCCCCACAGTTCAAATCATTCTCAGCACTGTCCTCCATGTTCCTATTAGAATGTCCTATTAAGTACCACTTAAAACATCCTACAGTTTTTCTAGTGCAGAGTCCCACAGTCTTGCACAACCCTCCAACAAACAGCATTGTCAGGTCTGTTGCAGCAATACTGCAGTCCCTGGTACCAAGTTCTGTCTTCATCACTATCTTATTGCCATGACTAAACATCATGACCAGGCAACACATATGAAAGAAAGCATTTAATTTGGGGTTTGCTTATAGTTTCAGACGTTTAGTCCATTATCAACATAGCAGGAAGCATGGCATCAGGCACACAGTAGCATGGGACATGTCAACAGGCAAGCTAGTAGTGGAGAAGTAGCCAAGAGCTACATGCTGATCTATAGACCAAGAGGATGAAGCTGGGCTTGGCATGTGTTTTGAAACCTCAAAGAATACCCCAAATGATACACTTCCTCAAACAAGGCTACACCTACTACAGTGAAGACACGCCTCCCTATTTGCTCAAGTAGAGCCACTCACTGGGAACTAAGTATTCAACTATAGAGGCCATTTGTATTCAAACCACCACATTCTTCCAAGTCTATTATTTTGCCAGTATGGAGCTTTTAAAAAAATCACATTATAGTATAATTTTAGGTCATGTATTGTGGTATCTCCAACAGTATTCTTTATGCTTAGAATTTCTTTGCCTATATGTCATCTTTTGTGTTTCCATATGCATCATCATAAAAAGCCTTTAGAAATTAGGGTTGAGCAGATCATACCTAAAACCCACAGGCTTAAATGTCAAACCTGTAATCAATGATATACCAAACTAGGACAATATAAAAACATTTCCCTTAAAACTTGGAATTAGACAAGTGTGCCCAGTATTTCTATACTTATTCCATACTTTTTTTGAAGTCTTATCCACAGCAGCTGGACAAGAGAAAAATATAAAAGAAGCCAGAAGTAGGAAAAGAGTGAGTAAAATGATTTTGTACTTCAAAGATCCTCAAATATAATAAACTGTCTAAGTTCCAGAATACAAAGTCAGCATAAAAATGAATAGACTTCATGTGTACCAATAATGAACTTGCTGAGAAGGGAATTAGCAAAAATTATGACATGATAACTTTCTTTACTCTCCAAAATATCTAGGAATAAGCCTTACTAAGGATATCAATGACACAGACAATGAAAACGTCAGAACAATGGAAAAGAAGATGCTACATGATAGAGAGAACACCCGTGCTCCTGGATTTGGAGAATTAAAATTATTTCTGAGAATGGCCACATTACCAAAAGTAAATTATGGACTTATTGAAATTCTGATCAAAACTTTCATAGAGTTACAAAAGCAAATCCCAAGTGTTGTATGCCAGAGAGCATGGAGAGTATATAGCAAGGGGAAACTAGTATTCAACAGGCTGACCTGCCAAACAAATAACTCTCTGATGGGGAGCCTCATTTGGCAAGGACCATGGAGTCACCAACTCTAAATGACTAGTTGAGTTGTTTCTGTCTGTAGTTTTTGTCATGTGCCACTATGGGTATTTTTCACACTGCTTGTGTTTATCTCATATATATATATCTGTGGTTAGTCAGGAAGATGATTTCTGTTTAAAGTATAATTTTGGTGAACAGAAATATACTAGGATATGCTTTATAACTAGATCTACTGTTCAGTGAGGACTGTAGGACACTTAGAAGCAAGCCTGTTTTGTTTCTTTACTCAAACTAACATAAGAAAATAACAATTTCTCCCCAGTCTAAGACAAGTTCATATATTTGGCTGATTTAAATAAAACCTCAGAACAATTTCAAATTAAACTGAATGTCTCTGTGAATAGATTGTAAGTTACAAACTTTGCAGAGACACACAAGGACAGAGTTGCAGGTGTCTAAGTCAAGGCTATCAGCACAAAGTGTTCTAGAAAGTCTATACCAGCTTCTCTAGCCAGGCCTGGCTGATAGTAGAGATCAGTGGTCACCCTTAATAATTCTTTAGCATTTAAAACTCTACACAAACTTCTAACCTCAGTTTAGGGCATAAAATCCAAGAGTTATATAACTGTTTATGTTTCAGTCCTAGAATTTATATGAAGGACAAGAACAACAGCTATCCAATTAACCAAATCTAGAGAGAAACAGTTTTACATGGAAAAGATTCCATAGATAACCAGGAGTACAGAAGATGTTCTGGCTTAACAGTCTTGAATAAAAAAGTTACAAGCTTCTCTCCTTGTGTTCTGGAGCTGCTCACAAGATAAGAAAATGTATCTTCAGGCTTGGAGTGCTTGTCAATGCCAGCCCTTGTCGAAGAGTACTGAAACGCCCAGCGCATTGCCATGGTAAATGTCTCTGCCCCTTACCATTTACTCGAGGAATGTATTATGGCCTTGAGAAGTAGCTTCTGTAGCCTTTTTTATTATTTCCAAAAGTTTATTGTTAAATGTTTCTATAAGCTGGTTGAAAAAAAAGAGTTAAAGAGAATTAGAGCAAAGAATGATTGCTGGAATGAATAAAGTGCTTGACCCTCAGACTGTGTATATGAGTCTTTTTCCCTCAGATATATAGAAACTTATTTCTAAAGACCCTAAGATAAAACGTTTCCTAAGTCCTTACTGCTTTGAAGGCATTCTTTCTTCAACCATGGTACATTTCTGGGAACTGGTCTCCCAGAATTGAGTAGATTTTTTTGGTTATTTGTTTGTTTTGGTTTCAGTTTTTTGTTTGTTTGTTTTTCTTCCATTTTTTTCAAAATTTAAATTAGAAACAAGCTTCTTTTATATGTCAATCCCAGTTCCCTCTCCCTCTTCTCCACCCCTGCCCCCCACTGGCTGCCTGTCCCATTCCCTTTCTGCTCCCCAGGAATGGGGACACCTTCCATGGGGGATCTTCAATGTCTGTCATATCATTTGGAGCAGGGCCTAGACCCTCCCCGGTGTGTCTAGGCTGTGAGTGAATTCCTCCATGTGGAGTGGGATCCCAAATTTTATTCCTGTACTAGGGATAAATACTGATCTACTACCAGAGGCCACATACATTAACCAGACCTCCAAACTGACATCCTTGTTCTGGAGGTCTGGAACAGTCCTATGCTGGTCTCCCAGCTTGTTCAGGTCTTAGAAGAGAAGGTCAGTGGTTCCCTCACATGAATTGTTATAGGAGACTGCTTCCTCAACATAACATCAGTAGCACAGACACTGAGATCAACAATTAATAAATGGGACTTCCTGAAACTTAGAAGCTTCTGTAAGGCAAAAGACACAGTCAACAAAATAAAATGGAAGCCCACAGAATGGGAAAAGATATTCACCAACCCCACATCTGACAGAGGGCTGATCTCCAAAATATACAAAGAAGCTACTCACCAAAATACCAAATAATCCCATTAAAAAGTGTGCATAGTACCCAAGAGAAGAGGATGGAGACAAGATCCTCTGAATGGATGGGGAACAGGGCGAGGGGGGGGGTAGTGGGACCTGGGAAGAGTAGAGGGGGTAAAGAGGAAGGGAGTTGGTCATGGGGGAACAGGAAGTTGAGGGGGTGGGGGTAAAATAGGGGGAAGAGGGAATCATAGGATCGAAGACAGATCAGGCACCAGAGTGACCTCGAGTGATCTAAAGGTATAACATCAATTGGCAAGCTAAGCAATAGTGGAAGGACCACCTCGAATGCCCATTCCTGATAATGAACTTGATGTCTATAACTATCCGGGAGCCTTCATCCTGGGACTGATGGAAGCAGAGGCAAACACACAACTAAGCACTGAACTGAACCCAAGGAACCCAGTGACAGAGAGAGAGGAGTGATGAGCAAATTGGCAAGGAATGGGCTGGCAAAACCAGCAGAGACAGCTGATCTGAACAGGGGAGTGCTCTTGGACCCCAGACCGACAGTGGGGAGGCCAGAATGGGACTGATCTGGACCCCCAAATGTGAGTGTCAGTGAGAAGGCCTGGGCAACCTATGGGGCTCTGAGCTGTGGATCAGTGTCTATCCCTGGTATACAATCTGTCTTCATGTGCCTATGGCACAAAGAGAGATGCTCTCTCAGCCTGGACTCTTAGGGGAGTGCCTTGACCCTACCAAGAGTGAAATGATAGACTTTAGACATCCCCTATGTGGAGGGATTTGGCAATAGGGTGGGAGGGAGGGTGGAAGGGGAGTGCGGGAGGAGGGGAGGGAGAGGGAACTGGGATTGACATGTGAAACAAGCTATTTAAAATTAAAATAAAAAATGATTAAAAAAAAAAAAAAAAAAAAAAAAAAAAAGTGGTGTACAGGGAACTGCACAGAGCTCCCAATCCCGGCGGGAGCATCAGGTAAACAGGCCAGCTTCCCGGCCTGTGTTCCAGAGCCTGCAGATCACCTGGGAACTGCACAGAGCTCCCAATCCCGGCGGGAGCATCAGGTAAACAGGCCAGCTTCCCGGCCTGTGTTCCAGAGCCTGCAGATCGCCTGGGAACTGCACAGAGCTCCCAATCCCGGAGGGAGCATCAGGTAAACAGGCCAGCTTCCCGGCCTGAGTTCCAGAGCCTGCAGATCGCCTGGGAATTGCACAGAGCTCCCAATCCCGGCGGGAGCACAAGCACCCCAGACTCCAGATCTTCTCTCCACCAACGATTCCAGGAAAGGAGAGGAGGCTGGGAGTACAGGGAAGTAGCTGTCCCTCTGGCATCATCAGGTAAACAGGCCAGCTTCCCGGCCTGAGTTCCAGAGCCTGCAGATCGCCTGGGAACTGCACAGAGCTCCCAATCCCGGCGGGAGCATCAGGTAAACAGGCCAGCTTCCCGGCCTGTGTTCCAGAGCCTGCAGATCACCTGGGAACTGCACAGAGCTCCCAATCCCGGCGGGAGCATCAGGTAAACAGGCCAGCTTCCCGGCCTGTGTTCCAGAGCCTGCAGATCGCCTGGGAACTGCACAGAGCTCCCAATCCCGGCGGGAGCAAAGCACCCCAGACTCCAGATCTTCTCTCCCACCAACGATTCCAGGAAAGGAGAGGAGGCTGGGAGTACAGGAAGTAGCTGTCCCTCTGGCATCATCAGGTAAACAGGCCAGCTTCCCGGCCTGAGTTCCAGAGCCTGCAGATCGCCTGGGAACTGCACAGAGCTCCCAATCCCGGCTGGAGCATCAGGTAAACAGGCCAGCTTCCCGGCCTGTGTTCCAGAGCCTGCAGATCGCCTGGGAACTGCACAGAGCTCCCAATCCCGGCAGGAGCATCAGGTAAACAGGCCAGCTTCCAGGCCTGTGTTCCAGAGCCTGCAGATCGCCTGGGAACTGCACAGAGCTCCCAATCCCGGCAGGAGCATCAGGTAAACAGGCCAGCTTCCCGGCCTGTGTTCCAGAGCCTGCAGATCACCTGGGAACTGCACAGAGCTCCCAATCCCGGCGGGAGCATCAGGTAAACAGGCCAGCTTCCCGGCCTGTGTTCCAGAGCCTGCAGATCACCTGGGAACTGCACAGAGCTCCCAATCCCGGCGGGAGCATCAGGTAAACAGGCCAGCTTCCCGGCCTGTGTTCCAGAGCCTGCAGATCGCCTGGGAACTGCACAGAGCTCCCAATCCCGGCGGGAGCAAAGCACCCCAGACTCCAGATCTTCTCTCCCACCAACGATTCCAGGAAAGGAGAGGAGGCTGGGAGTACAGGGAAGTAGCTGTCCCTCTGGCATCATCAGGTAAACAGGCCAGCTTCCCGGCCTGAGTTCCAGAGCCTGCAGATCGCCTGGGAACTGCACAGAGCTCCCAATCCCGGCGGGAGCATCAGGTAAACAGGCCAGCTTCCCGGCCTGTGTTCCAGAGCCTGCAGATCACCTGGGAACTGCACAGAGCTCCCATCCCGGCGGGAGCATCAGGTAAACAGGCCAGCTTCCCGGCCTGTGTTCCAGAGCCTGCAGATCGCCTGGGAACTGCACAGAGCTCCCAATCCCGGAGGGAGCATCAGGTAAACAGGCCAGCTTCCCGGCCTGAGTTCCAGAGCCTGCAGATCGCCTGGGAATTGCACAGAGCTCCCAATCCCGGCGGGAGCCAAGCACCCCAGACTCCAGATCTTCTCTCCCACCAAAGAGACCAGGAAACTACAGGAACCAGGGAGACCAGGGGAGTAGCTGTTCCGGATCAGGTACAACAGGACCCAGCATAGGGTCCAGGGGACCAGGTAGGAGGCTAAGCGCCCCAGATTCCTGTTCTTCTTCTCTACCCACGGACCAGCATTTGGACAAGGCATAGAAGAACCACCAGATTACTGGACTTACTAGCACCCACCAAAGGGAACTCTGGTCCCCAGACCAGGAAGGGGCTCTTTCTGCACCCACTAAAAGAAGAGATGGGAAAGAGACAATACAAAAACACAGTCAGCAACAGAAAAACAAATATGACACCGCCAGATTCTAGAGACTCCACACCATCAAGACCCCAATATTCAAACGCGAAGGAAGCAGAAGAGAACGATCTTAAAAGCACTTTCATGAAAATGATAGAGGCCCTAAAAGAGGATATTGGAAAATCCCTCAAAGAAATGGAAGAAAAAACAAACCAAAAAATGCAAGAAATGGAAGAAAAAACAAACCAAAAAATGCAAGAATTGGAAGAAAAAACAAACCAAAAACGGCACGAAATGGAAGAAGAAATGAAGCAAAAAATGCAAGAAATGGAAGAAAAAGCAAAGCAAAAAATGCAAGAATTAGAAGAAGAAACATACCAAATAAGGCAGGAAATGGAAGAAGCAACAAAGCAAAAAATGCAAGAAATGGTAGAAAAAACAAAGCAAAAAATAAAAAAAATGGAGGAAGAAACAAACCAAAAAAGGCAGGAAAGGGAAGAAGAAACAAAGCACAAAATCCAAGAAATGGAACAAAAAGCAAACCAAAAAATGCAAGAAATGGAAGAAAGAACAAACCAAAAAATTCATAAAAGGCAACAAACGGACGAACAGATAAACAGAAAATTGCAAGAAGCAATGCAAATGCTGCAAGGGTTGAAAACTGAAATAGAGACACTAAAAAAAACACAATCTGAAGAAAGGCAGAAAATAGAAAAGCTGGACAAACAGTCAGGCACTACCAATACAAGCATTACCAACAGAATAGAAGAGATGGAAGAGAGAATCTCAAGTGTTGAAGATACATTAGGAGAAATGGATTTATCAACCAAAGAAAACCTTAAATCCAACAAATCCTTAACACAAAACATCCAGGAATTATGGGACACCATGAAAAGACCAAACCTAAGAATAATAGGTATAGAAGAAGGAGAAGAAATCCACCTCAAAGGGGCAGAAGGCATATTCAACAAAATCATAGAAGAAAACTTTCCCAACCTTAAGAAAGACATGCCAATGAAGGTACAAGAAGCCTACAGAACACCAAATAGAGTGGACCACAAAAAAAAATCCCTCGCCACATAATAATCAAGACCCCAAACATACAGAATAAAGAAAGAATATTAAGAGCAGCTAAGGAAAAAGGTCAAGTAACATATAAAGGCAGACCTATCAGAATTACACCTGATTTCTCCATGGAAACTCTGAAAGCCAGAAGG